GGCTCCCTGCTCCGCGGGAAGCCTGCTTCTCCCTCTCCCACTTCCCCTGCTTGTGTTCCCTCTCTCGCTGTGTCTCTGTCAAATAAATAAATAAAATCTTTTTAAAAAAGAAAGAAAGCCCCAGAGTTGGGGAACAGATCCATCAAAGAACTCAAATCCAAAACATAAAGAACTCCTGTCGATCTGTAAGAACAAGAGTGATAACCCAACTAAAAATGGGCAGAAGACCTGAAAAGTCCTCACAGAGGGTACATCGACGGGCTGCCAAGCGTGCACGCCGGTGCGCACTCCATCACTCAGCAGGCTGAGCAGTTTAAAGTGAAAAATGGCGGGAGTGCCTGGGGGTGCCAGCGAGCAGGCCTGAGAGCCGCAAGGGAATGTCCCGGGTGCACAGCGTGAGCCCCGCAGCAAGGTGCAGGTGTGTCCCCCTGGGAGACGCCCCGAGAGGGTGGGCAGCCAGAGCCCAACAAGTGTGGAGCAGATTCTTACCCATGAGACTGGACCATCGACAACCATCACCAAGTAGGGTTGTCGGATCCAGCAAGACAAAACCAGCAGAACCCTCCGAATTTGAATTTCAGATAAACAGTGAGTTTATCTTGCACTTTCTTAGTGCAAGAATGTTCCACATGCTCCGCATTTGGGACATTCTTATTCTAAAAAATATTCATATGCTTAAGAAGTATTTGTTGTTTATCTGAAACTCAAATTTAACTGGCCATCCTGCGTTTCCCCTGGCGGCTCTATACAAATATGATATTGCCAAACAAAATCTGCCTCTAGAGAGTGTGGACAGCACATTCCCATTTACGCAGGGAGTGACAAGAGGCAAGACCACCTCAGTCTTTGGAAGTCAGGGTGGTGGGGGTGGCAGGGAGTGAGCAGGGAGGCACGTGAGGGCCTGCGAGCCTGGTTCACCACCCGCCGTTGGATCTGGGTGCTGTCTGCATGGGCGTGCTCAGTTTATGAAGAGTCACAGGCTGCGCGTTTCCGGGAAGTACACTTTTCCATGCGTTTCCAAGACTGCACGGGAGTCTTTAATCTGGACTCAGACCTACACTGGCAGAGAGCAAGGCGCATCCGCGTAGAGCTGCTCTAGACGCATCCCAGGCGTTGCCACATTAACTCCCTTCAGGTCACTGGTTCAGTGCCCCTTCCTCTAGGAAGCCTCCCCAGACTACGTCAGGTGTGTTGATGTGCCCTCCTGCCGGTAGGCATTTTCTTTTGTTGCAGTTGCTGTTGTGATGAAGTCATCATTCACAGAAACGGTGTTTATTACCTGCATCTTCCAACGTAGCCCCAAGGGCATGACGGGCCTGAGCTGTGCCTGCACGTCTCTCCATCTGGCCCAGAAAGGGCGCTCGAGAACATGTGTGGAGTGAGAGCCTGTATGTGAACCAACATTTTGTTTTCACTCCTAGAAGGTTTTCTTAACACGATGATCGCGTCCCTAAGAACCAGGGCCTTCTTGTTTCCCGCAAGAGTTGTGAGAGCCTCACTTTTGAGAAAGAAACCATCGCAGGAAGGCAGTCATCCGTCCCCGTGGCCGCCATCCGACCCGTGGCTCGGGAGGATCCCCACAGACACCTTGTTGCTTCCCTGCGGATGCAGCTGTCAAGCACGCTGTGTCCGTCCGCTCTCGGCCAGGGGGCTAGTGTGGCCTTTGGGACCCTCACCCGTGGTTTTTGTCTTGACCCTTGTAGGGATTTGCTGCAGACCCTGACCGAGGACGAGCTTCACACGCTGGAAAGGAACCTCTGCATTTCCCAAGACGTGGAGTTCCCCATCCGTGCAGACACCCAGGTGCCCCCAGCCCTGGCACCGGCCTTCCCCTCACCCCTTCCCGCCGAGGAGCTGCTCTCAACCAAGGCCAAGAACCCGGAGGTGGAGCTGGCTTGCTCCATGCAGTACGACGACCAGGAGCTGGAGCAGCTCAACCGCATGGTCCACAGGGCGGGGGACGAGATGTCATCCCTCCTCTCCCCGCCCAGTGCCTGCCAGTCCCCAGCACGCCGGCCAGGGGTGGAGGGCAGCCCCCATGGGGAGGCGTCCCCAGGCAGTGCACGGCTGCGGCCGGGCAGCGACGAGGAGGAAGGAAGGGTGTTCTTCATGGATGACGTGGAGGGGGCCGCAGAGGCCCCGGGTGGCTCGTCCGGGTGGGCGGGCAGCACCAGTGCTGACCCCCAGGAGAGAGGGCAGGGCGGGGGGCGCGGAGCGGCGGAGGAGGGGGACCTGAGCAATAACAATGACGTCCCTCATGACAAGATGTGGGCGCTGGGCCCCAACTCCTGCAGCTGCCTGGATGGGCAGCCGCACCTGGACGGCTGGGAGGGGGGCGTGGACGCCGCGGAGACGGCCGAGATGATCGCCCACCGGACCGGGGGCATGAAGCTCTCAGCCACCGTCATCTTCAACCCCAAGTCAACGCCCGCCGTGGGCTCTGCCACGGAAGCCTCCAGGGACGGTGTCTCCCTGTCAGAGCCTGCAGCCGAGGGGACAGACGGTGGCTCCCACAAACTCAGCACCGCGGCCACCAGCTGCCTCCTTAACTCCTGCGTGTGCTGCGGGGGCTGTGGGGGCGGCAGGGAGGACGCCGCCGCCCAGAGTCTGCGGGACAAGTGTGGCCGGGGAAGTGTCATCAGCACCTCTGACCTCGGCTCCGCCAAGGCCAGCGCCAAGGGCCCAGCCCAGAGACAGGAGGAGGCCCGGCCTGTGCCGGAGACACTGCCCTCAGAGGACGCCCCCACTTCCAAGTGCCTGACACTCACCTCGGGGCCTCAGCTGGACACAGCAGACGGGTCACCTGGAGCGGACAATGGCATGGCTGGACCGCAGGACAAGGGGCAGCCCTCGAAGGCCAGGGTGGAAAGTCAGCAGGGAGAGGCGGCCGAGGAGGAGCCTCAGCGCCTGTTGGGCTCCAGGTAAGAGCCATCTCTCCCCGCGCCTGGATTCCTCTCTTTGCATTCAGGGCTCATTCCCACGGGGCTCTCAGTGTGGGGGTGGGGGAGGTGGCCAGTGTGGGACACCTACGCCGCGGGGAGTTAAGCAGCATATATCAGCCTGGTCGCCCAGTCCAGAGGAGAAATGTCCCCCAGTGAGTCCCTGACCACCCTCCTTCTGATGTTACAGGCACCTCTCAGGTGATGTGGGCACAGTGCCAAGCCCTCTGCCCACCCCCTTTCACCACCGTGGCCCATCCTGGCCCCAGGTGATCCATGTCTGTCGGGGGGCGGGGTGGGGGCAGGGACTGGGCAGCGGACACCCCTGAACATGCTTTCCACTTTGATCACTGTGGTGGCCTTGGCCCAGTGCCCACCTGACCCACGCGGCTGCTTAGCTCCCGTGGGGTTGCAGTTAGCTGTGTGGATGCTCAGCAGTGGACGTGGCGCCCCTGGGGGCCGTGCTGGGATCCTGGGACCACCCTGGGGCCGCCCTGGGTATGTTCTCAGGCAGTGCCCCCAGGACTCTGTTCTCTCCGCCCCCCGCCCTCCCCAGGGGCGCTCCTATGCTCTCCTCCAGAGGCAGGGGACCAGGAAGGGGGGGCCGAGGTGGGGGCGTGGGTCTGCAGGGCCCTGGCGTCTGCACACCTCTTTTGACTCAAGGCCGCTCTCCCTTCCCTTGCTCCCCACACCCTGGACATATCCTGATGAAGCACATTCAGTGAGCGTTGCCCCTACGCCCGCCATGTGCCTGCGACGTCCTCAGCGTTGGGAAGGGGGTGCTGGGCTCACACGCGACTGTTGAATTGTCACAACCCCTGGTCCTCTCCCTGGGGCGCTGCCTGCTGGGTCTGCCGGCAGGAGGTGGGAGGACGGGGGTGGGGGGGGTTCAGGCTGGAAGCCGGACACAGCCCCCGCGGCCACGGTCCTCCGGCAGTGTGTGACAGGGGCTGGCCAGGACCCCACAGGTGTCAGGGCCACCGTTCCACATCCCCCAGGAAGCTCCGTGTGGGGTCCCTGAGCCCCAGACGACCACTAACTTACCCTCCGTCTCCGTGGATTTGCCTCTTCTGGACAGTTCCATGCACAGAATCACATGGTACGTGAGTTTTGATGCCTGTCTCTGTTCCCTGAGCGTGATGTCTCCAAGGCTCGTCAGTGTTGGGGCAAACATCGGTGGCACTTCTTTCCTTTTTGTGGCTGACTAATATTCCGCTGGACAGACAGAACACGGTCTGTCTGTTCATCTGCCGGTGGGCGGGTGTTGTTTGTACGTCGGCTGTCATGAATGATGCTGCTCTGCAGAATTGCGTCCACACTCTTGTGTGGTCAGAGGTTTTCTTTCTTCTGGGTGTAGATGCAGGAGGAGACTTGATGGGTCATACGCTGACTCTGCAGCTTTTTGAGGGGCTGTCAGCTGTTTCCCGGAGCCTCCACGGTGCATGCTCCCGCTGGTCACGCGCCGGGCCCCGCGTTCTCTACATCCTTGCCAGTGCTCGTTGCGGCCCCAGCGTTGGTTAACTGGCTCCTTTGTCCTTCGAGCACACGACTAAGCCCCCGGTGTTACAGCAGGTCATTTTACCCCATTTAGCACAAGATGTGTAGAGATGGTCATTGACATTTAATTGTATAATTATCTCGAATATTCGCTTGGTTCCCATCAAATCTATAAACTACAGTGTATGCAGAGAAGTTTATCTCTTCACCTTGCTCTTCCTAAAGGTAACAGTTTTTAAGTTTTTTACAGTTTGCCTTTCAATTTTAAAAATAAAAGCAAAGATGTACACACATGCATTCTCCCCCCCACCCCCCAGGGCCTCACCCTGCAAACACTCTCCTCCGCCCTGCTCTCCTGGCCTTCTAGCTGGGCGGCCTGGCCATCGTAGCTTCTGGAGGCGGGCTCACCTTCCCATCCAGCCGATGTGGCTGAGCCAGCGCACCCTCAGGCAGGTCCTGTGCTGGCCGTGGGGCTGTGCCGGACTCGGCTGTTACAGACGGTGCAAACGTCTTCTCCTCTTTCCGATAAAGCTGTTTTTGAGATGCAAGCGCAGCCACGTCTGGAGGAATGAATTATTGTCACAACGCGCTGGACAGCTTTCTTCCTCAGGGCCCACCGCACAGGGTTGATTATTGGTAAGCGAATCATCTTTCTGCAAGGATGATAGGAAATCATCAGAAATTCTTCCACAGGGTATGTGGATTTTTCAGTTTTTGACCTGCCCCCGCCCCTTTTCTGGTCCAGCCGGTGGACATCTACTCTGTCTCCTGCTTTCCTGACATTTCCCACGGTGGACACCGCTCGTTTGCGTTATGAAGATGGCTTCCCGGGCCCCATCCAGCTTCGCTCAAACGCTGAAGCTGAGCTGAGCAGAGGAAAGAGAAGCCCCACCGTGGCCTTGAGACAGTCACATCTTCCCGGGAAGCTTTATCCAGAAGGTGCAGAGGGCCTGAGGAGGGAAGAATGTGGCAGGTGGCTGGTGATCAGGACAGCCATGCGTCTGGGCCAGGGCCTTGGACAGCAGTGCCCCCCTCCCCCCGGCGCCAGGGGCAGCCGGAATCAGGTCAGCCAGGTGTCGGCAGATGGGGCCCGTGGTCCACCAGCCGCAAATATGACAGGAGCACCATTCCCTCACGTCACAAGCTGACCTCACGGAGCGTGATCTAATAGTAATGCTGGAGGTGACAGTCACAAAAGACCAACCTCACACAGGCGGAACGTTTACCCAGATTCCAGCGGGGAGATTCCTGAAAGTCGGGTGTTGCTGTCCTCATGATGTCTCGAGGCTTCACGATGGAGACCGTGGGGCTTGAGTGCAGGGGCAGCCTGCAGATGGGGAGGCTGGTGTCTGCGTCGGCTCAGACCGCCCAGAGAGGTGGCTGGCCTGCAGCCTCCTGCCTGTCCGCCCCCCGCAGGTGCCTCTGCAGTGGGGACCGGCGGTGGCGGGAGGAGTGAGCAGCGGGTGTGGTGCTGTGCTCGTGAGCTCCCGGTCCCGTGGTCCCTCAAGGAGGTCACTCAGGCACAGCCTCACACCTCTGCGCGCCACACAGAGCTGGTCCAGGCAGGAAGCGCACGGAGCTGTGACAGAGGTCTGCTCGTCCCGAGGACACAGGGAGTGAATTTTCCTGGTCAAGCAGAAGCCAGGTGGAAGGACCGGGCACTGGGCTCTCTGCCAGGCTGGCCAGAGGGTCTGGGCTGGAGAAGCGCCCTCTGGGGCATTCCCCCAGGCCCTACATTCAACCCGCTGCACCACAGACCAATTCCATCAGTGCTGTTGCCAGGTGCTGAGACATGGCCCCCTGAAGAGTCCTGGAAAGAATGTTCTAGAACCATGCGTCCTTCAGCTCTTTTTACTGGCCTCTCTCCTGCCTTTTCAGGAAAAGTTAGGATCTTTTTAAAGGGAAAGTTAGCATTTTTAAAAGGTTGTCGTTCCCTGTCTAGACTTACCTCACTGTTCCAGAACCTTCCATGCTCTTGAAGCCTGAATAAGCCACTTGTCTACAGCGTGGAGGCTCGGCCTGCCTCACATCTGTTTGTCCTTTCCACGGACATTTGACCAGAGTGTTTCCATCCTGCTGCCTTCTTTAAAAAATACCATGGGGTTGGGGCGCCTGGGTGGCTCAGTCGTTAAGCGTCTGCCTTCGGCTCAGGTCATGATCCCGGGGTCCTGGGATCGAGCCCCACATCGGGCTCCCTGCTCGGCGGGAAGCCTGCTTCTCCCTCTCCCACTCCCCCTGCTTGTGTTCCCTCTCTCGCTGTGTCTCTCTCTGTCAAATAAATAAAATCTTTAAAAAAAAAAAATACGATGGGCTCTCTTTTTTCTTACTATAAACGTGGTCCCCGTTCATCATAGAAACTCTGAAAACATTAGAAGAACAACAGAAGGAAATAAAAATCACCCCGAATCTTTTGAGCAGTTTTATTTTTTTCACTACATATTATGACCATTTCTCTGTAAAGCGCTTAAAAAACACTATTTCCATTAAATTCTACTGTATCCTAAGGACATAAGGACATAGCTAGTTTATTCTACATTTTCCCGTTTCCGTGTGTTTTTCCATGCTAGGTTAGCCTGTAGCCCCTCTCCCTTAGGGCTCCGTGTCTGCCCCTGGGGTTATGTCTTTAGAGCGGATCCTTGGGTCACCACGGCAAAGGCGCCACTTACCGCCACGTAAGGTCAGATTGCTCTCCAGACATGCACCCATTTATCAATTCATCACAGCGAGGTGCCCCCCTCCCCCCCAGACTTGAGAGGCAAAACACAACGCCCTGGTTGCTGTAGTTGGCTTTCCTCTGACGATTGGTACCCTGGGTACTTCTTCCTTCGTGTGCAAAGCGACCGCTCCTGTCTTCTGCCTGTTTTCTGACTGGGTTTTCATGACTTGTTTACTGACTTGAAAGCGTTCCTTCTGTCTGGTGCGTCTGCTGTGGACAGATTTACCCCACGTGCTCCTTGCCCCCTGATTCCATGTGTTGGTGTCTTTTTTTTTTTTTAAAGATTTTATTTATTTATTTGAGAGAGAGAGAGAAAGCATGAGGTGGGGAGGGTCAGAGGGAGAAGCAGACTCCTCGCTGAGTAAGGAGCCCGATGCGGGACTCGATCCTGGGACTCCAGGATCATGACCTGAGCCAAAGGCAGTCGCTTAACCAACTGAGCCACCCGGGCGCCCGGTGTCTTTTGATTTATAGAAGCCTTTCATTTTGTTTTGTGTAATTACGTTTATGAAAATTCTAGAGAAACCTTGTGGTTCTCGCTTTCCTTTTTTTTTCTCTGGTTGGTTGTGCACTTTCCATCCCTCCTCTCCCCAAGGCCAGGGCATCCGGCTCATGTGCCGTGGCTTTCTTTGTTTTACCACTGACCCTGACCCGGTTTCGGAGGTCTGGGTGGTTCTGCCTTCTGAGATTGTCTCTGACCGTTGGGACTGATGGCCACCCTGATGCACAGGCAGGGTCACTCCAGTCTGGCTTCGGGCCACCTCGCTGC